AAATTTTTACTTGAAACAAAGGCCTATTGCGGTCACACAGGAAAATCAACTTCACAGACTTTAGCTTTTGGGTCTAAATCTTGTCTTCTGAATTTGCAATGATGACCCAGACTTCTTGTTCTGAGATTGGGATGCTAGCTTTTTCTAATGACCTCCGTCTCAAACTGCTTTAGCATGTCATGAATGTATTGTGCTTGTATAAAACTATAAATATATATATATATATATATATAGGGGTTGTAGATAACATTATGTTTGTATCAAGGATAAGGTAAGGAAAGGAAAATAAAGGAAAGTAGTGGAAAAAAAAAAAAAAAATTTTTGTTTGGATAAATTTTTAACTTATAAAAAAAAGGTGAAAACTCAATAATCTTTGATTTTTTTTGTAATTCGTACTTTTTTAATACTTCAATTTGAAAAAAAAAAAAAAGCTAAGGAAAGAAAAGTTGAAAAAAATTATTTTTATAAAAAGACTATTATATTCATTCTTTTATTAATATTAAAAACCTAATTAAAAAAACTTAATCACCTCATAATCTTCCTACAATTTTTTCAAAACCATCTTTTTTTTTCAAATAAGTTTCACATGTCTCTTTCAATATAAAAATTTTTTATAATTTTTTGATGATTTGATTTTGATGAATGATTGAATATGAATAAATGTATTTTTTTGGTTTATGAGATGTAATATTTTTATGTAATTATATTTTTTATATTTAATAGTTTTTATATGAATACATTGTCAAAGTGATAGTGTGTTGAAATTTTGACGATAGCAAAAAAATTCATTAATGCATATTTATAAAATATCTTTCTGTTTTACTTGATTAAAAACTATTGATATAATAACAATTGTGAAGTCATACAAAATAATAAACATCTCATGATCCATGAATATTTTAAAATCACAAAAAATGAAATGTTATAATTAAAAAAATTATTATAATGAATCATTTTGTTTTTAACTCTTTATTCAAACAATGGATATTAAAATTTTTTTTTTTTATAATTTTTAATTATCCAAACCAGAGATACATATATTTTTTTCTTTCCTTTAAAAAGCTTTATTTCTCGTTCCATTCCTTTCTTTTCCTTTCCTTTATACATATTAATCCAAACATTACCTAAAGGTGCAAATGAGATTTTACCATAATTTGGTCAAGAAACATCACAAAAAGTGATTAAAAAAGAAACCCGCACGCCTTATATGGGCGTCCATTGCTTCCGTCTACAAGGGCTGCAATGTAACTGATTTGGGTTTGGTCTATGTGTAATGAAATACGCACTGCTTGTTAAATCCCAACTTATTTGGGCTCTTAGCCCAGCCTAAACAGTTGGCAGTAGAATTCATGAACACGTGTGTGATACAAAACCAGAAAAAGGTTGTATAGTTCTTGTTTATGACTTTAATCCATCGCCTCAGGCTCAAATGGTCAGTCTCCCAATCAAAGAAGGGTCCAAGCCATATCACAAAAATAACTCAGCAAGAAGATAGATAGATAGAATGGTTTAAGTTAAAGCCTACTAAGATCTAATTAACTATCTTCATAAACATGTTTATTATGGTTGAAGTGCGTTCCTCTAGAATTTAGATATTTAACCATGCCCATCATGCCCGGATGTGATGTTTGCAGGCTCTAAGTGCCAACCATATTGTTGGAATCTAATTTTGTCTGAGACTCGAGAACATCTTCATTGCCTCATTGGTCTCGTGAACCAAACTCAACTCTTATACCAAAGTGAGTGCTGGTCAATGGTCACGTGAGGCCCAATCTCTCTGCTTGAATTGACTAAATGGCACTTTGACTCTCACCAGTTCATGGAATTTGGACTGTTGTCACCGTGTAGTATTCAAATCCAACTGAGGGATTTAGAATTTTTTTTTATATCTATTTATAATATTTCTATAAATTTATTAATTTTATTGATAAAAATAATGTGTAAGAGAAATTTTCTAAAATGTTCACAAATAATTTTCTTCTTCTTTTATTTAATTTTTTAATTCTTAAAAATATTCATGAACGCCCTAGCTATATACATGAATCTCCAAACCTTCCGATACTTCAAATTAACTAATGACTATACAAAACAATATATATAGTAGGTTCTTTATTTTTTGGGTGATCTCATAACAAAAAAAAAAATACATTTGATATATAAAATTATGATATGATAAGATAAGATGATATTATAAATAAGATTAAATTAAATAACATCATTTTATCTTATATTTAATATGTGTAAAAATTAAAATAAAATAATTTATTTATTGATTAATATTATTTTTTTAAAATTTATATAATTTAAATTATTAATATAATTTTTAAAAATATAATAAGACATATAAATTTAATTTCATGAATTAAAAATAATTTTTTTAATTTTAAAATAATTAAATTATTTTATATAAAAATAAAAATTAATTTTTTTTATAATTTTATTTTTTATATAAATATAATATAATATAAAATAATTATTATTCTATCCTATTTATTATTTTATTCACCAAATATGATAAAAAGTGATTCAAAATGTCGGTGAATTTCAGAAATATTAATAAGAACAATTAAGAATTTAGATGCTCTAAGCAGAAAACGCGTTTGTTTCTGCTATAACGACTGTTTGGCACGTGATTAATCATGAAATTAACTACCATCGCCGTCTCTTTTAACTTTTTATGCAATACTAGATGACGTCCTTTGCCACGATTTTTGGAATTGTTTATTTATTTGCATGTGATGTTTAAGTAAATAATTATTTATTGCCTCTCAAAAGAGCATGAATTTTGTCTGAAGAAAGCATATTCTCCGAGCAGGTAGTGATTCAAAAGAGAATAAAATGTAAAGTATTAGCAAAAAAAATGAACACGTTGAATGCTTTAGCAAAATAATTAAATTAATAACGTCTAGTCAAATGTGTGGAATGTAAATAGTAAAAATTTTTATTTTGTTTTGATTTCAAGATTAATTTAATTAATTCAAATAATTATTTTTAAAAAATAATATTCAATAACTTTATATTTAAATTTTAATATTTATAATATTTTTTATTTATAAATTATGATATTCTTATACACAGAAATTTTTATTTTGTTTTGACCATAAATTATGTGTAAATCATTAATTTTTTATGAAAATATAAATATAAACAAATTATAATTATAATCAAAGATTATATTTAAAAAATTAATGCAAAATTAATTAAAAAATATATAATTAAATAAATTCAATATAAAATTAATCAAATCTATACATAGTATAACTAGAAATTAAGACCTCAAAAATTTAAATTTTCTTTTTTGTCACTAAGTTAAATTACTTGTGAAAGGAGCTACTAACATTGGTAATTACCTTTTATTTAGTGGAAGAGATCTAAGAAAGATTATGATAATGAGTGGTAATTACTAATAATTAGTTAAAATAATTTTTTTTTGTCAAGGAAAAATAAATGGTTTTTACCTTCATTATTTTTTGGGCCACCAAAAGAATGAGTTAAATAAAAGATTAAAGGCCCACAAAACTTTTCAAAATCATCAACAACACAGTAAATGGTGCCCCATATACAATAATTGGCCTAAATCATGATACTTCAAATTTAGAGAAAATCCACACCGTCTGAATTGCCAGCTCAGCCCGCCTTTTCTGGGCCTCATCCCATCACAACCTCCAAAATAAATCAATCATGATATAGTAACGAGCAATTAGGTATGGAAAGCTGAGGTGGACGGCCCGCGAAGAGTTTTTCATGGGACAGATGAAAAATGTGAAAGGATCAAGCGGCTAAATGAAGTGTGATCGTGCGGACGCGTAGTAGGTAATCAAAGAGGAAAAGGATGGGCCCCCTCATGAAATGACCTGGTCAATGGAATCTGTTTCTTTTTACTTTTTTATTTAATTTTAATTTCAATTTTTTTTCCGTTTTTGGGCATTCGAGTTTCGACATTAGAGACCAGGCCTCGGGGTCCTGGACTTCGTCATCTGCCACACAACAACGCGTATCAACTAGCTCCATTTGTCACTGAATCAGCAACTCCCATCAAATTCTGGCCCTTCTTTCCACCCAAAACTACAAAATTGCCACCATTATTCCCTCCTGTTTGTTTAATTTTTATTTTTTGGTTTAATTTATTTTAATTTCTGTATATTTATTAAGTATCTAGCTTAACTTTTACTACATACGCACTAAAAAAATATATAAACTATTACATTTAATCCTTGAATTATACCAAATATTTCAAAGGTCTCCATATACAGGGTTTGTATTTATTTACATTGGAATTCTTGTCTGTAGTTCATACAAATCTCAATAATGTAATTCCAAGGGGTTTGCCTTTAAAAATTGCAATTGTCCGTCTAATTGTAATCTTAATATATTAAGAATAAAATTCCAAGCACTGAATTTATATTATAAAAAAATATTTGGTTTATTTCTTAAAATTTTTTAGATTAATGTTATAACATATTCTTCTTTTTGTTCATAAAACATGTTTTTGTCTGAACTGTATTTCAATATTTGCATTTAAATAGAGTAAATGATTTATTAAAATTAAATTTTCAATATTGATGAACCTTTGGGAATCAAATTGGAGTGTTAGATTTAAGTTGATAAAGAAAAAGAAAAAGAAAAATTCAAAATAAAAATATTATGGCTACTTTATGTCATTGATTTCCTTTTTCCAAAAATATCAATTATCTTTGTCCACGAAAAAAAGATATAAATTATTTTTGGTAAAACAGTACTTACTTATCTGTTGTAATAAGGGATTAGCAAAAAAAATGTACTGTAATAAGGAAAAAGTGAAGCCTAATTTCCTAAAAACAAGACAATTAAAGAACATTAAAGACAAATGATCATGTAATATTTTGTTAACCAAATAAATATATTGATAGAAATTCAAAAGTAAATTAAGAATTAAAAAAAAAAAAACCTATTTATATGTTATAGAATATAGAAAGCAAAAAAAAAAACCAAGAAGTGGGGGGCACAATCGGGAACAAAAATAAAGAATACTGCGGAGTGCCGAGTCAGCGTCCCAAAGAAGAAGAACCGGTCTCGGCCCCGACCAATCCATTCCCATGAATTTCGCTCCCGTATTTAACTCCCAAACCTTTCATCCTTTTTTATCCTAAAACATCTCTCTTGTCCTTCTTTCACTTTCCTCTCATTTTTTCCTCTCTTTCATTGTTTTGCTTTCTCTACACGGATTCCCCTGAATTATTCCAACAGAAATGCCGGGAACCGAGTACCAAGGCTCCTTCTTGGGGCGAATCAGCATCAGGCGGAACCAAGTCATCGCCATGGATGGTAACCACGAGCAAGAGCTTGAAGACTTAGAGCTCTTCCAAAAGCACGTTTCTGATCGCTTCACCGAACTCTTATCTCCTCCAGATGACGTCCCTGTTGATGCCCTTCTCTCAATTTCCTGGCTACGCAAACTCCTCGATGTGTTTCTGTGCTGTGAAGCCGAATTCAAGGCTATTCTCATTATGGGTCATGACCCGTCTCAGATCTCCAAACCTCCTCTCGATCGCTTGATTCCTGAGCTTCTAGACCGGGCCGTGAAGGCTTTAGACGTTTGTAATGCGGTTACCAACGGGTTGGAGTTAGTTAAACATTGCCAAAAACTGGCGGAGATTGCCGTTTCGTCTTTGGACCAAAACCCCATCGGCGACGGGCAGGCGAGGAGGGCTAAAAAGGCCTTGAATTCTCTGATGTCAGCAGTGAACCTTGATGATAAAGATGGCACTAATACTAAAACGACGGAGAGGAGCTGGTCGTTCGGTCGCCGAGGTGGTAATAAAGAACGGGCGCCGGGATATTTCAGGTCACTTTCTTGGCAGGTGGCCAAGAATTGGTCAGCCGCGAAACAGATTCAGGCCATGGCTACCAATCTCGTTGCGCCACGTGGGGCAGAGGCTTCCGGTTTGGCCTCCCCTGTTTATATAATGAGCGTGATTATGGTTTTTGTTATGTGGGCATTGGTGGCTGCGATACCTTGTCAAGAGAGGAGTGGGTTGGCTACTCATTTTCCGGTTCCGAAGCAACTGAGCTGGGCCCATAGCATGATTGGGTTACAAGAGAAAATTGGCGATGAGTGGAAGAAGAAGGAGAAGAAAGGGATGGCTGGTTTATTAGAGGAGATGCAGAAAATGGAGAAACTCGGTCAGAGTTTGATTGAGTTTACAGATTCTTTTCAGTTTCCTGGAGAGACAGAGAAAGTAGAGGAAGCGGCTGCACAGGTGGCGGAATTAGCGGAGACTTGTCGGAGAATGGAAGAAGGATTGATACCTTTGCAGATGCAGATTAGGGAAGTTTTTCATAGGATTGTAAGAACTAGAAGTGAGTTTCTTGATGTGTTGGACCAAGCTGGGAGATCATCTGCGCCACTCGTGTAACTATGTTGGACATTTTTATCAATTGCTCTTGGCCGGGACAGGGCCTTGAATTTTACAAAATTTTGAGGTAATGGTTTGATCTTCCTAGGTTCTATTTTCTTCATGGGTGTCCTGTCTAATTTGGCCCATGAAGTTAGGGACAGATGAACCAGCAAGATTGGGGTTTTTCCTTTTTAAAATTAACATAGGCTTCAGCCACTAAGGTTGTGATGAAGCAAGCATTTCCTGTGTTAAACGTACACTTTTTTTTAAGCTTTGGCCCTGTGTTTAATATATGTTAACTGTTAGTATTTGATTTGAGTATACAGAAGCTTTTCTTGTCAGGAAAATGTAAATACTCAAACTACTACTATAACATTTTGTATTTGAAGAAGGAAGTGAGAGTTTCTCACTTTGCAGAAAGTAAATGTATGTTGGATTAACATTTTCATATGCTCTTCTTGCCCGAGTTTTTTAGCTTTGTCGGCCAATTTGGCAATGTGAACATGCTTACTTTCTCGAAGTTTTTGATTCCTTCTTTGATTGTCCTTCAGATAGCTAAGTTGTAAGGGGTATTTGAATTGGGAACTGATAAAGTTTGTGCCTGCCAATCAATTAAACAATGTCTCAGTTTTCTTATTGGAAACCACCCTTGTGTTACTCTGGTTGGCTGCGTTATCACGTTAAGCATACCTCTAAAGTTGTCGACTTTCGAACCTGGAAAGACAATAGGGAAAACCAATCACTTGATTGGATCTTATTATAGATAAATATAAAAATCTGTTATTCATACGCTGAGTTCCCGCTGGACATTGGGAACCATTTAAATAGGAAAAAAAAAAAAAACAGAACTTCAGACAAGGTTGCCTAATGAGGATAGCAACAGCTGTTTGTTTGACAATTGTTCAATTCTAACTTGCAAGGTACGGTGGAATCTTCGGAATCTGTGTTTGCTTTTTAACACCTAAAAAGAGTCAGTAAGGTTTGTTCATTTAACTTAAAAGAGTCAGAAAGATTTGTTTATTTAACTTACTCTGGTGGGAATCATTGGATGGTTTGGACCACAACATTGGGACACATGGAAAACGCATAGGGTTTTGAATCTCAAATTAGCCGAGGCTATAAATAGAAGATTAAAACTTGCGCGTTGCTTGTCATTTTACTGTTCAGATTCCCGTGTTTCTCGTGCTTATCGAACAACATTGTTAGGAGTATGCCATCAAAGTCTATTAGCTTCAATATTCACTGAAATAATGTCAAAAAGTCGAACTCGTTTAGACGAATAAAATTTTCTTTTTCTGAAAGATGAAAGTATTGCCAACTAAACTAGACAAACTGATCACTCTTCTCTGAACATTGGGCACGCACATTTTCCCTTTCGTAAAAGATCTCCGGCGCTGTACCATTCCATCTCTAAACCAATCCAAATCGTCATAGTCATGCCCCTTGGCCCTCTTCTAGAGCCAAATCTAAACCCAACAGCCTCTTCAATAAATTAATACTACTAAATTATTTACCTTTTCACTCACCGCAAAGCACCTTCAAATAGCATGTTCCCAGGTCCGTTCTCCGCAAACAACTGCTGCTGTTGCTTCTGCAATTACTCATCCCTTTTTGTTAAATTTCAGTTCTTATAAATATTTCTGCTTTTTACTGTTCGAAAAGCAATGTCGAGCTTATCCAACTCGCTTCAACTTAAGCATGGGCTTGCTCTCTGTTGCCCTCACTCATCTTCTTTGACCCGTCCTCACCCTTCCTCTTCCATCGGATTCAGAAGCTTCCATAGAAACTTCGTCGTTGCCTCCTCTTTTTCTAACGACAACCGAGAGTCAGTTTTTCTCAATCAAAATTTTCTTCTTTTCTACTTTCCAATTTGATTTATAATTTCATGTTTATATAACTTTATTGAAACTGGGTTATTCATTTTTTCCCTATCTGCTAGATTTGTGATCGTCGGAGGGGGCAATGCTGCCGGATATGCAGCGAGGACTTTCGTCGAAAACGGAATGGCTGATGGCAGGCTATGTATTGTATCCAAAGAGGTGAATTCTATACCCGGTTTTGCTTTTTTAACGATTCTATTACTATTTATTGATTTTGGATTTTGGGTTTGATGCTGTGAATGTTTTGCAGGCATATGCACCTTACGAGAGACCGGCTTTGACAAAAGGCTACTTGTTTCCACTTGACAAGAAACCAGTTCGATTACCTGTAAGAATCTGCAGCTTTATATAGCTACATTTCTTTTTTGTCAATCTATACTTGAATTATTCTATTCAGTTTTTGTTAAGAATTGTGACTGTATTGGGTCATTAGTAAGCATATTTCATGTTTCAAAATTCTTTGTATTTTTCTATATTTATGTGATTTTATTTGGAAATATGTTGCTAGTTCATGTTCCCAATGATTAGAACTTCAAGCATTTTCTGGTGTAGTTTTCTGTGGGTTTCTATGTTTTCATGCCTATAATATAATATGTTATGTACTGTTTTAATAGTTTCAATTTGAATCATCATAGAGTTTTCATACTTGTGTTGGATCTGGTGGTGAAAGGCAAACTCCTGAATGGTATAAAGAGAAAGGGATTGAGGTATTTCTTCTAACTGCTTTAGGTATTTATCTTTTGTAACCTTTAATTTTATCAGCTTTTTGTTATGTCTTCCTTCTGTTTAAGAGTCTTTGTTTCTGGCCCTTTTCCAGGAAGTTATTTAATTGGAAATAATTACATTGCAAGCCAAGAAACAAAATATGTTGCTTGCATAGTGCATGTAAACAAAAGTTTAAGAAGATTTATCTTTGTTTAAGTCTCTGATAATGAAGGGCTGCTGATGTTTTATAAATTGCTGTTTCTAACCTTTTCCCCTACTTCTCTTGTATGATTAGATGATTTATGAGGATCCAGTAACAAGTATTGATACGGAAAAGCAAACCCTAACCACAAATTCGGGCAAATTGTTGAAGTATGGATCTCTTATAATTGCTACAGGATGTACAGCCTCAAGGTATCCTCATCAGTTTGTATTAGCCTTCCATTTTGTTGTCCTAGATTATGAACATGAATTGGTGAAGCAGTAAAGAAGAAAAAGGGGACACTGATTTCTTAACTGTGTTTATTTCAGATTTCCAGAGAAAATAGGAGGAAACATTCCTGGTGTGCACTATATTCGGGATGTTGCAGATGCTGACTCACTAATTTCATCTTTGGTACTTAAAAGTTTCTTCTACTCATAGCCTTTTTTGTTTCTTTTTTTCATGTTGTTACCTTTTAGCTTCCTATATGGTCCAATAAAAATTTTTATTTAATTGCTTAGGAGAAAGCAAAGAAGGTGGTGATTATTGGTGGTGGTTATATTGGGATGGAGGTTGCTGCTGCAACTGTTGGCTGGAAACTTGATACTACAGTATGAGTTCATTTTATTTGGTAAATGTGGTTGTCTCAGTTATTAATGAAACCAAAAAGAATAGTTCTATTTCTGCTGTAGTTTTCCTTTATATGGTCCAAGTTGAGGTGGCACTTTGATATCTCTAAAACTGAAAAGTTTCTATGTGTTTCAAGACATGCATGTATTTAGACACATATACATGCATGTCTGTGTGTGCCTATGCCGAAGACTACATTATCTTCTAATTTTCATTTAAGGTTAGGTGATTTTAGATAAAGACTTGTTGAGCTGAATTCTATTTCCTTTTGCTCCTAATGTAGGTCATTTTCCCAGAGAATCAGCTTTTGCGAAGATTATTCACTCCTTCCCTCGCTCAAAGATATGAAGAACTATACAAAGAGAATGGCGTCAAATTTTTAAAAGTACTATCTCTCTGTCCTCCCTCTCTCTGTCGTTCTACATACCCTGCAATCTGAGTGTGTGCACTTATGCTTCCACCAATGCATGCATTTGCCTACCTGCCTATCCATCTGGCTGTGAATTCCATTAGTTTCAAATTCATTTTCAGTTAGTAGTAGTGAACATTGAATTTGATTAATACACCGTGAACTGAATGTTATGAACTTGTCAAACCACTGACCAGGGTGTTTCTATCAAAAACTTAGAAGCTGGTTCTGATGGACGGGTAGCTGCTGTTAAACTTGGAGATGGATCTATTGTAGAAGCTGACACAGTAACCATTTTGCTATAATTAAAATTTCTTGTATTTCCTTGCTAGTGGTGGGAGAACTGTTCAAGTGGCCCTTTCACCCTATATTTTCACCATTCTGCAGACAATTATTGGTATTGGAGCAAAACCTACAGCTAGTCCCTTTGAAGTGGTGGGATTAAATACTACTGTTGGTGGCATACAGGTGAGCATCATCTGTAACTTCTTTATGTGAATTATGTGCTCCGTTAGACAATCTATTTACTTTTAATGCATAGTTATACATGTATGTAGTACCACGTGTGAAGTAATTTCCTATTTTATTTGATATTGATGTTGCTTAATGCTGGTAACCAACTAGTGCATACTAATAGCATGTATTATGCCTTGATGAAGTTTAGCATGTTTTCTACATTTTCTATTCTTTGTTATTAAAAAGACCATTAGATCACCAGCGTTTTATTTTCATGCCTTAATCTTATAAGCATAGTTGAGATTCAGATTGTTTCTAGTGGAGTATGTGTATATGATGATTGATGACTCTGCCTTTGAACCAGGTCGATGGTCTGTTCCGGACAAGCATACCTGGAATTTTTGCAGTTGGAGATGTTGCAGCATTTCCCCTTAAGGTATGATATTCTTGAATCAACAACCATTTCTCCTTTCAAGATCTAAGTACATGTTTTATCATGACAGATGTATGACCGTGTAGCACGAGTTGAACATGTTGATCATGCTCGTCGATCTGCACAGCATTGTGTTAAGGCGTTACTTAGTGCACAGACTCACATGTCTGTGACAGTCTATCCCATGTCTTCCATCATTCCTAATTTCTATGATGTTAGATACACTGTCAGTGCTTCTCTTTCATTCTGAAACATTGATGACTTGCATCATTACCTGTCTAATGTTTTCCAGGTATGATTATCTGCCCTATTTTTACTCGAGGGTTTTTGAGTATGAAGGGAGCCCCAGGAAAGTTTGGTGGCAGTTTTATGGGGACAATGGTGAGAATAAATATTACATGCTTTTTTAACATTGCATATATAAATATATGTTATCTCAATTTCAGCATTTAGAATTATAATCTTTTTGGCCAGTTGGAGAGACATTTGAGATTGGGAACTTTGATCCAAAAATTGCTACTTTCTGGATAGATTCTGGTAATGGAACTTCTGAAGAGTCTCTCTCTCTTCATTTTCTATTACACTTTTCACAAAAGTAAGATTAAACTTTTTCTTCATGACTTTACAGGTAAACTGAAAGGAGTTCTTCTTGAAAGTGGAAGTGCTGAGGTAGTTTATTTTACTAGAATTTTGTGCCAATTAGCATTGTTGGCTGAATAGGTGAAATTGTCTGACCAAGTATGTAAATGGGGCATCTCTGAGAGAAATCTGATAATGATGGAATGGTGAAAGTGTTAGGATATAACTAGACACTTGATATTCATACAAAAAAAAAGAAAAATTCTAATAAAGAATATTTATAAACAACTATATGTTTTATCTAAGTAATTCTTTTCAACACAAATACGATAATATTTGGAAAAAGGATGCTAAATATAGATATCAGTTTTGAGTTCACCATGCACTGTGTTGCATGTAGGACCAACTTTCAGTAAGAGATCGTTTTCTCAAGGCATTGTGGGTCATCGTTTTCCATAATGTCCCTCTTGGCATTTTATACAGCAGAAAAATCAGTTCTTAGTTAGATTGAGAAGCTTCCAATAAGGTTTGAAAATGTGTATTATGTAAGCTTGACCAATTACATGTTGGTTAGTTAAATGGTTGCTAAATTCAAAGTTAAAAATATTGAAATCATGTCTGATATAATCTGAGATCCAATTTTTTCTTTTCGTCCTTTCTCCTGAATCCTTTGTGCTCTGCTATCGTAGGCTTTTTTTGCAAGGCTATAAAGCTCACATCATATTGTTATGTTGTAGGAATTTGAACTCCTTCCAGAACTTGCAAGGAACCAGCCTTCCATTGACAAAACCCAGCTTCGGAAAGCATCTTCGGTTGAGGAGGCACTGGAAATTGCTAAAGCCTCCCTACTAAATGAGCAGAAAGCTTAGTTGCACAAAAGAACAGCTCCATGAAAAGTACTGATCTCTGCACAAAAATACCACCATATAGTAAGTTTTCACTAGTCTTACTACAGCGGGGGAATTATTCCTCATAATATCTTGGAACCTTTCTCATTCTTTCGTGAAATAATTGTTTGAAACTAAGCACGAAAGGAAAGGTATACGTTTACTTTGATATGCAGACAGAGTGAGAGAAATGCAGCACCTAGAAATTTTGGTAGATGAAACTGCTGCTGAGCGTTTGAGCATCCAATAGTTAAATCAGTTCCTTGTGTAATAATGCACTGTCTTTGTTTTGGGAATATGATGTTCTGTTGGTGGCTGCTGCTGGAATATCTATACGTTTGAATATATCTTTAGTCCTGTGCTGTTATTGTTGAGATGTTAGGCCAGTTAGTGGTAATGAATGAATGCGGCTCCCAAGCACTTGCTCTTTGGGATTAAATGGCGGCAATTGCTGTATTTGGGCTGCCCTCGCCCGTCCTTCCAATATCCTAACTCGGTACTTCCAAAAGCCCATCATTTTTTTCCTCTTCCTGCTCAGATGTCGAACTTGATTTTTAGCATATATTATACATTTTTAAAAATAATAGACAAAATTTAGTTGATTTATATAAAGATAGCAATTAGATATACCAAAGGTAAGATTTCATTTTTTTTTATATATAAAATTTTATTAAGAAAAAAAGATTGTAATGAATGAGATATAATTAAAAAAATATAATAAATTAAAAAAATTATATTATTAATGTATCGAAGGCAATTTTTTTTTAACAAATTAAATCCGAAAAGAAAAAACCTACTATTTCTTTTCAAAATGTATATTTAAAAAAGCTTTTATTTGAATAAGCAACCCAAAAATCTTAAACTAAAGTTCCTTTCAATATCATTATCATCCTTGCTATTTTTTTTTTTCTTTTTCTTTTTCATAGAATTACTAGTTTCACTTATTAGCTCAAAAACTTTATATCATGTAACCATAAGAATTTTTCTATTGATTGAGCAGCCAAATGGAAAGAGACTCGCAAAACTATAAGAGATTTCGCAAGATAAGATTGAATCGTAACTTAAATCACATCTTATTAGAAGAAACAAAATAAAAAAAACTTTAGATGAGGATGATGATGAATTAGGATATTAACCCACAAATCAATCTCAATATCCCCTTAAAAACATCCACGATGGATGAAGATGAGTTAGGATCTGCTGCCGTCCTTACTAAATTATCAATAAAAAATTATTAATCCTCACATTAATTAATTAACATTTTTTTTCTTTATAAATGAAGTCATGCTAACCTTTTGTATTCACCAAATGAACTTCATTCACAGCTAACATTATACATGACAACATGTTTCTCTTTGGACTATTCCCTTCCCACACCCCCATTTGCATATATGCAAGACTTCAAATGTTGGTAATTTGTTTTTGCTATTTATTAGTATTTTTGAATGTGTTTACTAATTATAAATTTTCATTCACAGAATGGAAATTCAATATCAAACCCAAATTTCATTTTTATGTTTCCCTGTGAATGCATTGGTAATCCTATCAAATATAAAATACAATTTTTTTTAACTTTTTTAATAAAAAATTTAGAATTAGAAAGAAACATTTGCTTTTATATATATATATAACTCGTTAGTACACAATAGAAGGAAAAAAAATGATTGATCAAATACTTATGGGAAAACAAAAGAATAAAGAAAAAAAATATGAAGAAATAATGGGCTTTCAAAAATCTTTCTCATGTACGACAAAAAACCCAAATTAAAAAAAAAAAAACAATAATAATAATAATAGGAAAGCTCCATATGACACACTCAAAGGCTCCTTGTTGGAGAAGGCTACGTTGTGTCTCATATCCAACCTTTTTTATTTGACTCGTTTTGGCCTTTTTGTCAAGCCTTTGTTCACCCGGAAAATATTCCTACTCTTGTTTCCTCTATTGCACTATTTTTTTTTTCTCATCGTATAATGAAAATTGTTAGACTTTTAAAAAAATAATTACAAATAAAAGATAAGAGATTGAAATAATATATTTCTCTTTTACAAGTAATTTCGCACTTCATCTTTAAAATTTTAAGTTTAAATCTTACTCTATATGTATTTGATTGTTTAATTAAATTATAATTTATTAATTAATTAATCAATGATATAATAATTGATTATATAAAAATAATACTTAATTATGAATGTAATTTTAAAAAAAAAGTAATATGGCACCTTTTGCAAATATATATATATATATATTATGATGTGATTATTAGTTTTTTAACTAGATTTAAGCTCATCCAATACACGGGTGATAATTTTATTTTTAATAATTTTAAAATAAAGTAAAGTGAAAATTTTAAATATTAATAGTTGACTAACAATAACAATAAATTAGAAGTAATTATACCAAAAAAATTTGAATTAGTAATAATGTTCATTTAATCTATAAACACCTTAACATAAAAAGAAATAAAAATAAAACCAATGAAAATTTTGATTACGAGATAATTATGCATATAAATATTTGAATATATAAGTAACAAATTTCTTTTTTATTTGAATTTGTAATTGAATTTTGCTAATAATTAGAAACTTTTATCAAATTTAAGCTAAAATTTATAACATCATTAAAAGTTAAATATTATCAAGTAAATCAATTTGGATATGTGATGCTAAATTAGATTGCCGCGTAAAAAAAGATAGATCAACCACAAAATTAGATAGTTTTTATTATATATATTACTATTTAAAAGTTAAAATATTATTTATTAGAAAAACATTAGACTATTTTATTTTGAGAAACGCTATATTTATAATTTTGATAAAATTATTTTTTAATAATAAAATATGTTGTTAGTATTCTCATAAAAAATAAAACTTATCAGCTTCAATATATATAATACTAATAATTTATTATGCACATTTATTTTTTTTTTGTTGATTGTATATTCCAATATATTAAAGGTAATAAAAGTTCACATTTGGATTTAGCTTTTCTTAAATCCAAATGATATTTTATATATATTTTAAATTATAAGAAGTTCAGCTTATTCTAAATGTTTTAAAAAAATTTCGCATCCCTAAAAATTTTGTAAAAAAAATAATAATATAATAAAATGTTGAATAAAAAATTACCTTTTTGAATTATTTGAAGAAAATAACTATCATTTACCGTAAACCTTATAATACTTGTTATATGTATCAAAAAATTGAAACTAAAGAACTACTTCTATCAATTTGCATTTACTTGGATAGTAATTAGCTTTGCTTCAAGTTAAATCATGAAAATGATAATATCAAAGCAACAAATATAATATCAAAATGACAAACAAAAAAATCATATCACTAAGAAAAGAAATAAATCAATTCACTTCATACAAAAAATAAAAAATAAAATCCATACTTGATACATATGATAGGATAGGTGATAAGTGATCATTTTTCTCTAATTTATCATTGAGCTTATTCTTTTATTTCATGATAAAGTATAAAGGGAATTTGGTATATAAATCGATATCATATCAAAAACTAAAAAAAAAAAATTGTATAAAGATATATACAATATATGAATAGGTAAACTATAATAGAACTAATAGTAATAGCAAAAACTTGAAAAGAAATCCAAAACATTAAATTTTCATGAAATTTTGCTTAATTTTAAATTTTCTTTCCAAAATATTTTTTTTTTCAAAAAATAAATCATTATACAACTATGATGAAGAATTAATCTAAAAGATCCTAATACAAAAGAAAAAATAAAGGAGCACCTAAAATAATATAAAACCAAACATAAAGTAATTTGTGCATTTAATCCATCTATATATAACATCACAAACAAAAAGAAAGAGAATCTAAGTTAGATTTACTATATGGTAAAAGAATATCATGACAATGGAAAAAATATTGTAAGGATGCAATTTATTTTTTAAGCATTTCAAAATACCCTTATTTATATGATGGGTCTTAAAAATAATCATTGAATGATTTGTAACTTTTGAATGTTTAATTGATTAAGATGAATTTAAGAATCAAATCAATATCAATAATAGTATTTTAAATTAATAGTAATTTATACTTGACAATTAGAAAAATCAAACATATTATGTATTTTACTTATTAGGGAGAGATCAAAAAACAAGATTTTGAAATTAGTGTAATAATGGTAATGAAATTCAATTTATTTGATATATTTCAAAATTAATTTTAATTGATTTGATCATCTATTAATCATTTTAAAATTAATATATATATATATATATATATTAAACGTGTATAGAAAACTTAAAAAGTGAAATAAATAAATAGGTCATAGATTTCAAAATTGGAAAGTAAATTTTTTTTTAAGACAAATGTAATTTAAGAGTTGAATATTATAATTGAAAAAAGAGAATACAAAATTATCCTATAATGATGGCAATGAAAGTTGTATTATCTTCAATATGAATTTACTTGAGAGCAATTTAAAGTAATAATAATAATAAATAAATATAATTAATTTAATATTTTAAAAAAATTCAAATAAAATAAAATATATGACCCATGGTGATTTTTTAAGATTATTCAAATGTCATAATATAAACCATTCATATTGAATTTTTTTTTTCTCCCAAAGACTTTGACTTTTATATATTTATATAAAATAAAAAATTATTGTTTAAAATAAATTAACAATGGAACATTATATTTCTAATACAAGTTTAATTACAAGAGCCAAAACCAATGGATTCTATTAATACAAGTCATATAATTAAAAAAAAAAATCACTGTCAATGTAAATTAAATTAAGTTATAAGAAGTAAATAATTTTTCTTTTTCCAATGAAAAATAAGAATTAATAGTAGAAATTCATAATGACAATAAAGGAAAAAAATTAGGAATACAAAATTTGTTATATAATTCGTTAAATCCATAAAAAAAAATGTTTGAATGAACTTACAAAAAATTATATTGTACAAAACTTAAAAATCTCTTATGGTTAAAAAAATTAAAAAATAACTATTTGGAATACAAAATTTGCCCTTGGGTGCGGTCCATATTTTGTGCGTTCTTAGACAAGGAAACGGTCAGAGTTCAACGTCTTTGAAACCAAAATTTTCCAGTCTTTTTTTTTTTTGGGACGAATTTTTTATTTAATTTTCCCAGCCTTGTTCCCATTGGTTAGTATTAGTTTATTAATATATTGTCTTCCTCTTTCTCTCTCTCTCTCTTATAATTTGCGTGTGTTGTGGGTTAATTATATCAGTGTATGTTCTAAAGTCTTGGCGCAGCTTTAAGTTTCCACAGCAATGAAGGTGAAGTTTCCTTCCCTCAATCTGTTCTTCTGATCCCAGTTTCTTATTACAGAAATGAATCTTTCTTTACTTAATTAGTTTTATATTTTCATCAATTCACTTGTAACATCAATCATCTCCTGCTCTTCATATTGAAATATAGAATAATAAACAAACAATCTTTGATGGGTTTTCTTGTGTTAAAAAATATGGGTTTTTCATGCTTTTTAAAATTCTTTTATTAATTCAAAGCCCATTTTTTCATGGGATTTGCTTTTTCTTATTAACAAACAATCTTTGTTGGCCGCTGTTCGAGATGCTGCTGGTTTTTCACTTTTTTTGAGTTATTAAGATTCTGTTATGGTTACTCAGAGCAACAAAAAGCACAAAGTTTTCTTTCAATCATGGTCAGGACAGGACAGGACAGGGGTGTTTTGTTGCCTCTGACATGAAAATCTTATTTTTTCTTACAGAAAGTTGTCTTGAAATTGGATTTACACGATGACAAAGCAAAGAAAAAAGCCTTGAAAGTAGTTTCTGGTCTATCAGGTACTGATTTAAGCCTTTTTTTTTTTTTTTTTCTGTTGATTAAATAATTGTTTACAGATACTTGTTTTGTTTGTAATAATAAACTTGTCTCTGTTTTTTAATGAATTTTGCAGGTATTGATTCTATCTCGATGGACATGAAGGATAAGAAATTAACAGTGACCGGCGATGTTGACCCAGTTAACGTGGTGAGCAAGTTAAGAAAACAATGGCACACAGAGATTTTAACAATAGGACCAGCGAAAGAAGAGAAGAAAGAGGGAGAGAAGAAAGGCGGAGGCGGCGGCGGCGGCGGCGGCAAGAAGGAAGATGATAAAAAGAAAGAAAGTGATCAGATTGCTGAGCTTGTTAAGGCCTACAAGGCCTATAATCCTCACATGACTACATATTACCGGGTCGTGAGTGCAGAAGAGAATCCGAATTCTTGTGTTATCTGCTAAATTTGAGACTCTTGAAAGACATAACACAAGGATTTGGAACATTTCCATGCATCAGTGAATGAACTTTGAAGATTTCAAAGCCCCCATTGGAGACAAACCCAGAAAAGAATTTCTCAATCCTATGAATATAAATAGTTTAATAATACAAGGATTGATATTTTGCTGTTGTTCTGTAAAGGACATGCTGTAAAAAAGTATAGAAAAAATGAATAAATTTAGGACATACAATGCTACAAATGTATTTTGCTTGATTTTCCAATTGTAACTACAGCTTGTTTTTTTGGTAATGTTTAGGGTTTAGGGCCATTTGATTAATCCAGGATTGCTAACCAATTAGTGAATACCAGTAATGATTTGGTGATAAAAAATACCAACACTGAATCCCACAGAATTTCTGATGGATTAAAGAATTACATAGCCTTTGATAATATGTTGGAAGCCTTGACTGGATTCTGGAGGGTGAAGGTTGATCGGATGATGAATAAATGATGCAGAGATGTATTTTTCTATTAGGAAGAATCGATCTTTTCAGTTGGGCATACATCAACTAATCCACTAACTAATACACCAAGAACAGGTATTTGTAATTTAAATTAAAGACTGTGGGCCAGTTATCAGCATGCTTACAAACAATTTGACTCCAAATGAGAACGAGAGAGCACATTGGTTGAAGATCATTGTCCGTGTGTAACTGTGAGAGTAAATTATTTTTCATTTGCAGACCCTACACGCTGTTGGAAACGCTTGTTTGATGACTTCAGAAAGTCGGGATGGACGTTTCAATTTTCAAAGCTGATGCCTTCTGCGAAGTCTCCAGAAGTAGAAAACATAAAAAAAAAACAAAAAGGAAAAGTCTCCGGAAGTAGAAATTGCTTCCTCCCTTGGGTTCAATCTCTTCAGGACCGACTCTCCTGGGGTCAACCTAAGCCCAACTTTGGGCATTTGGGTTTCTTTGTTGCCTTTAAATAACAATGTAATCATGAGCCCAAGTTGGAAGAAGACAGAAGGTGTCAGCAGCTTAGTCCCCACAGAAAGAGAATAAAAAATCAGAAAACTAGGAAGAGAAATATAGATGGATGGCAAACAAAAATTATTAAATGGTAGATTTAAAGAATGCCCATATTTCCCTGTACCCACTCGAGAACCTCTTAATATTATAGGATGTATTTGTCAAAAAAAAAAATTGTCTTGCCGATTTTCAGTTCTAAACTCTCTTATTCTTGCAAATACTCTTTATTTTTTTAAATAACATTCATAATTAAATATTATATTTCTAAATAATTAATAAATTATAATTTAATTAAACAATCAGTACAATAAAACTTGAACTTAAAATTTTAAGACCCCTTCTTCTTCGTTAAACTTAAAAGTCATTGGCCGACAAACACTTCTTATTGAATTAACAAAACCTGGTCAAAACCCTAAAGAAAAGCACAAACAAGCAGGTCATGCAGATCGAGAGCAGCTCAAGTGGCCGAGTTCTCAAACGGGATTGCCTTATCACATTTGACAGTGACATCAAAGTCCTGAAAAACTAATATTATGAATTATCTGTTAACGCAGGATTTGAATTCAATTTAAAATCAATTAAAAATAAGTGAAAGAATTTAATTTAGATATAAAATTATAAAAATTTAGATATTTATTAGATATATGATAAAATTATTTTAGTAGGCCTTTATAGTGTGTAAAAAGAGACAAAAAAATTTATCATATGATAAATTTAAAAGTGATAATATAAAAAAAATCTTAATTTTTATGTGATATTAATCATCTAATTTAAAATTAATTAATATTAAATGAAAGATCTTAACTTAAATATAAAATTATTAAATATTAAATATTTATTAAATTTAAAATAACATAATTTTAATAAGTCTTATTACGTATTTATGAAAATAAAAAAAACTTACTACTTAACAAATTTGAAAAAAAAAAGATATACTAAGAATTAAATCTAAAACCAATTTAAATATAAAATTATTGACATAGGAATTATTAAGGCATTAGCAACTGTCTAGGCTTTGGAGGTACAGTTCAAGTTGGTGGTCAAAAAGTAATCATGGAAGGGGATACAAGGATTGTCATCAACAAGCTAAAAGAGGATGAAGAAGAAAACTCACACATCGATTCGTTGGTGTCGAGTTTCAATTTAAAGGTGTTTTGGTGAATGTAGAAGAGAAAGACGATTAGAGGTAAAGGTAGTTAATGTTTTATGTGTTTGTACTTTGATATTTAAGTCAGTAAAAATCAAGTTGAGAAGAAAGTAGAAAGTAAAGAGAAATGAATGGAATTAACCTACTTTCATGGTACTTGAGTCTTCATATTTATAAGTAAGTTGAGGGGGATCATAAGGGGACAATTAAGATAAAGTTGAGCTGAGGTGATACTAACCATGTTAAGTTAGGTTGGCACAAATGACAAAGATACCTCTGATTGTCTACTGAAAGCTTTGAGAAGGAAAAAGACCTATGTACCCTTTTAACTATCAAATGTTTTTAACACTCTATCCCTTATCAAGTGGTTTGAGTATTAGATTACCAAATTTATTACTAACGTCCCCAGTGTGGGATAGATTGGCTGCATGGTTTGTCAAAGGTCGACGTTATATGGGGAGTTCGATTTTGGATGATGATTAGCTTTGAGTCACGGTCCAACTAACAGTTATTCAATCTCGCGCTTGTGTTCTAAATTGATTGCATAATCGAGTGATAATAATTGTCTGGGATGATTCGATATTAGTGTTGAAGTTCGTTTGATTGTGGTGAGATTTATATTTTCTTTCAAAAAATTGGATTTGAACCTCTATTTTGGACCCTGAAAGTGAACCGAGCTCTTGGTTTACTTTAGATAGTTGTCCAGTTTAAATGGTCTGACCTGGGGTTCGTTCAATTTGGTTAGTTTGACAGCATTAAATGAAAAGATATGTGGTTTAAGCTGAAAAATTTAAAGCAAAAGGACGAAAAGACATCTTCCCAACCATGCCTCGACATGTGGAGCAGAATGTGTCGTTTATCTGATTTGCAACGTGTTTATATAAAGAGCTGGTAGGGCTTTAAATTTTCACCATTTACCTTTTTTGTTCTCCATTCGACCTAAAATTTGCGATCTTAATAACTTTCTAGGCTTCAAAGTTTTTTTTCTCCTATTCAGTACGTATTTCTAACCATGTCCTCTAGTACAAGTTTTGAAGAGGCTAAGAGTTATAGGATAGATTCAAGAGGAGGTCAACGAGGGTAGCAGGATGATGACCTGATCTACCCTATTATTGGGGGTCGTAACCATACGAAGACGGCTTATTGGTTCAACCTGTTGTCCGATGAAGGGTAACGGTGCAATGAAGAGAATGCTCGGGCAAGAGGCGAGCGAGTTTTGAGCACAGAAGAGTTGTATGCTCAAATCGACTTTGAACTTCAACATCCACCTGCTTTCCCCACCACTCAGGTTGATCCATCTTCTATGGCCAACCTTCTTTCTTCTTTGGTCGTTTCCTTTTCTGGGGTTCGATCTCTTCCACCTCCTGCGACTTTTACTCTCCCCCTCAATTAGTTTTTCTAGACATCTTGTCCTTTCCTAAGGGGTTTCCACCTTATCCTTCTTTTTTTGGGATCGAACTGCTTTCATCCACTACTCTTTCTCGAGATTCGTCTCCTACCCAAAAGTTAGATTCTTCCAAATGGGGGTTTTTAAGAAGGAACAAGAGGAAGGGAGCACCTTAACCAGAGAAAGTGACAACGAGGGGGAGACTGCTGTGGTGAGGGACGAACTTGTTGAGGCTCTTGTATATACTTTGTATGACCTCGGCGTGATCTTCAAAGACATGATAAGCGAGCTAAAGGGCAAGACAAATCTAGAAGACTATCCTAACATGTTGATAATTCTAATTTTTATAGAATTATTATGAACTTATTTGATTTAATTATGATAATTACTTGATTAATTTTACTTGATTCTTAGCAATTTAATTTAATTATCACCAAAGTTTATTTTATTGTCCATCGTGTAGGTCACTTAAATAATTAAAGTGACTTAACATGTGAGTGACCAAATTGGTTAAGAGTCCATGGCACAAGAACACAAAAATTAATTGCTGCATGTCACGGTTCTTTTTGTTGAATTGGTGCTGTCACAATTGGTTGCTAACTTTGATGTGCACTTGGCTTATGATGAAGATATTATTGGTGAATGATAGACACCTAAATAGTTGCTACATTCATGCAAGAAAAGAGAAGAAGCCAACTGGACATGCAACCAAAAATTTCTCCAAAGAAATGACGCCTCGATCCTGGCTGCTTCTCCAATTCTGCTGCTGCTTCCTTCTTATTGATCACGGTTTAGAGATCTAAGGTTGGTGCTAAGTTAGCCAAAGATCAAGGCAACAGCTGGACATCTTTGCATGACCAAGGGATGACTCACAATGGGATAAATAAATGATAGCTGCTACGTATAGGGAATATGGCCTGCACGGGGTGAGCTTGCTCGAGCTGCTCCATCAGATTTTTGTTGCACACTTTTGCTAATAAAAGGGAGGTAACGTGGCAGCATTGTAACTGGAAAATTTCTTACTAAAAAAGCTCAAGAGCGCTACACAAAGAAAAGAAGACAGCTAGAACATGAACAAAGAAGATTCCACATGAAGTCTCACTAAATACTATATGCGTTGTGGTCACTGGTTGCAACCAGAAACTTTCTTCAATTAGGAGCACAATTGAGCTAAATATGAGCTCGCTGACTTGGCATTTAGCAGCATGATGATTGGCCAATGTTGGAGACTTGTGGATTATCTCATGTTCAGCATTACAAGGGAAGGAAGCAAGCTGAAAACGTGACTGGTTGTGTTGGAAATTAACGCCAAAGTTGTGCATGTGCTCTCAGATGCATAGTTCCATTTTCAAGAGAGTTTGTTGGCTGTCTTTGACAATAGAGTGTGATAATTTTCAAGTATTAAAAATGGGGACCAAAAAAAGGAGAGCCGAACAGGGGATACATTTAATTTTTCTTCTTGCACTTTTCTAGTTGTAACGTGAGTTTGCATTTTTTCTAGTCTTACCTTAACTTAGATACATCTTCCATTGACATTTGGTGAGGAAAAGAAACACTAAGGGAAGATTTTTATGGGCAAGACTCATGCATTTAATGGGGAGAAGCCTTGCAAAAAAGGGAAGAACCGAACCAAGAAGTCACGCCATTTTCCTGCTCTGTTCTTCTCCAAGTAGCAGCAGCAGTTTAGTTTTTGTTTTACCGTCTTTCTCTGAGATTTTTCCTTTGCATTCGTTCCCAATTCTGTCCTCTTTTATTACCTTTTCTAATAAATAATTTTAGATTAAAGGTTGATGAATTAAACAGCAACAAAAAAGCTTGGAGGAGGGCCAAACCATGCTGCTTATTCTCCATGGCAGTAACGGGTTGAGCCCTCCATGAAACTTCATTTCCTTTATTTTTATTAGTAGCTTTTGTTGTTCTAGATTCATGTTTTACTTCTTATTTTGTAACTCATTCCAGCTTTAAATTTGAAACTTAAGCATGTATGTTTATGTTTTTTTGTTTTATTTTTGTTCACATCATTTCTCCCAAGTGTGACGCCAAATCTATTGCATTTCATAGCAGTCACGGTTTTGCTGCATTCTATGCTTTTTAATTTCTTTTTTAGTTGCTATTTTTTATTATTTTAATTCAATGCTCTTTAAGTTCAATTATTCATTTAAATTTTTAGTTAATTTTTTAGTCCAATCGCCTTAAATTTCATGATGTTTAGTACTTGTTTATGCATTAGTTTTCTGTTCTTGTCCTTTTTAGATTAAGTTTCTTTGTGTGCTCTTTAATTTTCTTGTAATTTAAATTTTATATGTAATTTATGTTTCAAACATTTTAATTTTTTATGTTATTTAAATTTACTGTAATTTTAAATTTTCATGTTATTTAAATTTATGCAATTTTTTTTTTTTGTAATTTAATTTTAAGTGTTTAAACTTCATGGCCTCATTTACTTTTTATGCAATTTATTTTTTATGCGCTTTAAATTTATGTAATTTAATATTTTCATGTACCTTA